TCTCATCATTTTTGTTTCTTGATTGAAAACTTTCAATCTTGAATCTTGTATATACACTCGACATAAGATCAGAACATATGAACACGATACCAATAGGTGATATGTAAATAAAATCTATAAGGAGCATTAAAAAAATAAATGATATGTAATGATTCTTATGAGACAAGCTAATCAATTAAAATTTTAGAATCGATCAAACCTGAGTATTTGAGATTTCAATCAAGTATTACTATAACTGTAAGTGTTTTTTTTCGATTATTTATTTTTTCAATATTTGTCAATAACAAACAATCGACTAAACTATCTAGGAGCATTTTGATTAAGATCACTTGATATGAAGTAGTATGCTCGTATCGTCTTCGCTATTTAGTCTGATACAAAATTATCGTATAAAATTATTTAATTATAATTTACACAAAAGATAACAAAGAAAATAATTTTACAATGTATCTATTAGTATATATATCAAAATAAATTTCTTTCTGGTGATAGATATACATTTGCATTCAATATGACATCCTTATCTCAAATAGTTCTTTGTCCAATCATTGGTTTTCTCCTTGCATTTGGAGCAGGACAGAGTATGTGTTAACGCTTACAAATAAATATTGTACATAATTATTAACATAATTTGATTTAGATTCAAAACAAAAACTATTGAATACTTCAATTGTTCAAACATGTGCATAGATTTTGAATATAATAATATGTATTATTTGTATGTTTGCCGAATCTACTATTATCATTTCTGCATTAGTTTTTAACTACATTAGTTGTTCGATGATTGTAGCTCGTTCACAAACAGTTATTTCTACGTTGTAAGTAACTAAGATAACAATTCTTTTCTTCATAAATAGAAAATTCAAATTAATGTTTTTTTCTCTATTTTGTTTGGTTCTTCATCTGAATATATTGACACATTGACTGGTATTATGTGGAGGTCAGCAGGAGTTATTACTTGCATTCAATATGGACTCGTTCATTTAATAACAGATGTATCACGATCGTGGAGAGTGAGAATCTTCGAATATATATGAATTTAATATTCTCGACACCTATTTTCATTTAAGCCTGGGTTATCGTTTTGATCTTGATTATATTTATGGCATGCCATTTAATACAAACATGATGTAATACTCTCAAAAAATTTCGAAAGCATATAGAAGCTGTTCAATCGGATGTCATCAATTCAAGATTTTAAAAATCAATTATTTAAAATTTATATAAACATCACAGTACTTTACAATAAATAAATATAAAATTCATTACTCAATGCATGATTATTTATTAAAAGTTAAATGTCAATATGCGAGCATTTTTGTATCTACAAATCATTAGAAAAAAAGAATCGAAACTTTTTAGATTGATCTTTATGTGGTTGAAATAAACACGCTCAGGGTTTGTTTTGAGAATGTATTCTGGCCATATCTAACTCAGACCCGAAAATAACTCATTGTTTTTATTTTTCTTCTCTAAAGTCTTTTCTATTCTAAGATATACAAAAGAAATAATCGATATACTATTTTTACTTAGAACTATATGTTAATTTGATCATAATAATTTGTGATAATGAACAATGTTAAAGGATAATTAAATTATGACTTCAGTTGATTTTGTTCAACTCAAATTCTTTTGCTTATGTATTTATTTCTCATATAGATTTGATATGTTTTGATGATATTTATATTGTTGAATAGCATTTGATGAAGATTCATTCTCAAGATCAACAACTACACTTCTTCTTTCGTTTATCTAATCTGTGAAACAAAAGAATAAAATCAATTGTGCAATACATTCTAGATATCAGACATTGCCGATATATTTTCTTTTTTAACTGTATACAAAATATCAAAAACATTTTGTTCTCAAAAAAACTTTTATTTTATTGTTCAGGAAGTGTTGTATTTCCTTCGTAAAGACATGATTTGCGATGTATTCTTAACAAGAATAACATTAGATTTTGTCTGAAGCACTTTGTTTTCACATCCTTCCTACAAACATTTCAATATCATGAACATTTTTATATTTACAACAAATAATCCCTGATATTTTATATTAGTTTTGAAAAAGGAAATGGATTTATTGTTTTTCTTTATTGTGAAATTCAAATGTTGTATTTGCAGCAAATATTTCAACAAAAAAGAAAATTATCATCGACGTCATTAGGTAGGCGAATAGAGAGAGAGAGAGAGAGAGAGAGAGAGAGAGAGAGAGAGAGAGAGAAAATAAACTTTTTGTTTTTTAATGTTCAGTTTTTAATAAAATATAGAAGAGTTTTTCTATCATTCAAGTCAATTTTCATTGTTGATTATTGGAGAATGTCACTAAAAAGAAACAACTTGTTTTTATTTTATTAAATAGAAGATAAATATCAATAATAATTAATAAAAGATACAGAAGAATTTGTTTTATTTTGTAGACATTAACAGAAAAAGGAATAAATTTTGAGGAAGATCAATTATGAAACACAGCAAAATAGAGACTTTATGCTGTAGTTTATTAGGAAAAATTACATGAAATAACTTTAGCTTATTTATGTCTGGCTCAGTTAACTTGAACTAAGAAGAAAAATCAGTAATTCCATAAAGATCATTGTATACGTGTATCATAAATTGTTTAAAGTAATGAAAAGATTTTATGAATCACAATGTTTAATGATAAAAACAAAAGTGTCAATAATAAATGCAAGATAAAAGAAAATGTCAATAACATAAATATATAAACTTGTCAAAGGAAAATTAGAAGAAAATGATTTTGTTATTTGTAATAGATGATGAAAGATGAATCGAAGGGAAATTTCGAACTCACCGATGCTCAAAATTGATTATACACTGACGGATAAAATAGTGTCGAATATGTGTGTTTTGCATATCGATTTTCTATTTCTTCATACGTTATATTAAAAGAACGAAGTATAACAAAGAGTACAGCGAGAGAAGCTCTACCATTTGTATTATTGAACTTTTTTTGTGGTTGTACTTTTTAGTTTCAAAATCGACAAAAAACAAAAAAATTTTTTGTATAATAGTAATTTTTTTCTCGATTATTTTAAAAATGCATTTGTATTCTCCATCTGTTCAATATTTTGATTCATTTTTTTCTGCGTAGTCCTATAATTTTTTTTATTCATCTTCTGTTGACACTCTTTTTTCTTTTTTAGAATCTGTATTTATTTTTCTTTATTTTTCTCTATTCTTTACAAAGCCAAACTTTACTTTCAGATATCTTTTTTGCTGCTGTAAGTTACTACATTCTATTTTCTCTAGACTATCATAATTTTTAGTCCATAAGATTCAATAAGAAGATATAGTTAGCAGTAATTTGATTGTGAGAACAGCTAAATTTTGACGGCTAGATCTGACTCTTGATCCGAGAACTGAAAAAACTTTCAACTTTGATACGGACGTATTCAGAAATTTGTCTTATACTTTTCAGAAAAAAAATGATTGTCATTTACTCCAAACGAGCCATTAACGCAGGAGATAAATAAAATAAGTAGTTATTCATCATTAAAGTAATAAAGTATACCATTATTTTAACTACTGTTAGTTAACTTGAGCCAAAGTTCATAATGATATGGTATAGAGATATGGAGTTATTATGATATTAATAAATGACTCTCTCAGACATTTCCGAAAATAACTACATATGACTCGTATGTAACTATCTGTTTTAGCTCAGAATATTGTGCTCTCTCTATTAGTACATGATATACTAGATATAGGGATGCACCAAGCTCGAGCCCTGATTGAGCCGCTCGGACTCGGGCTTGGGTGTGGGTGTGATGAGTAGAGGTACTATCCTTTTCACTCTCACTCACATTTTCACCCACTACCACACCCATCCGAACACACGAGCCCTGACCGAACCCGAGCCTTGATCAAGCCCGAGCCTAACCGAGATCGAGTCCTAGAGACTCGGGCGTGGTACATCTCTATAATTAGATAGCATTCACATTTGGCCAGATTGTAAAAAACAAGTTATTTTAAAAATAATAATAACTTCTTACGCCTAGTTAGAATAGGTTTAAGCTGCGGTCTCTGATTCGAATTCAATAAACAAAGATTTCAATCGGCATCCGCAGGAGTCCGACACAAAATTTTTTATCCTGATTTACTTTTCTGTAGAATATCAGCTCTGACTTTAGCGCTTTAATCCTTTTAGTACCTTTACGTCTTTTAATCTTCTTGGTCCCATAATTAACATTAGTTTCTTTAGTTCTATTAGATCTCTTACCTCCCCTTAGCTCTTTTAAATCCTTTAACTCTTTTTAGTCCCTTTAGGTTCTTGAAATCCGTTTAGCCCTTTCTGATCCTTTAATTTCCTTTAGCCCTTTGAGGGCCTGTAACTCCCGTTAGTCTCTCTGATCCCACCAGCGCTTTTACGTCCTTTAGTTCCTTCAGTCCTTTTAGCTCTTCTAGGTCCCTGAACTCCGCTTAGCCCCTTAAAGAGATGTACAAAGCCCGAGAGGCTCGGGCTCAGGCTCGGTGAGATTCAGGCTCGGTGAGATTCAGGCTCGATCAGGGCTCGGTCAGGACTCGGGTTTGAGGATGGGTGTGGGTGGATGTGAATAAGAGCGAGAGTGGGGACATGGTGAGTGTGGATACTATCCTTTTCACTCTTACTCACCCTTTCACCCACACTCTCATATACATTCACCCGCGCTCACACCCGAGCCCTGCCCGAGCCTCTCGGACTCCATACGTCCCTATGTAGAATTTAAGGCTCTTCAAAATACCATGAATAAGTTCAGAATATAAAGATCTCCGGGAGAGAAAACTGATCACAGTGAATGTGCCGCTGTTTTCTCCTCCATAGATCATTATATTTTGAACTTATTCATGTTATCGTGAAGATTCGTAAATTTTACATATAAAACACTATCCGCTGGTATTTTCTCACATTGATCATAGAATTTGTTATTGTACAATCTTTATTTTCGGTATTCACGTATGTCTTTAATCAGAACATTTTTAGATAAATATTATTATCAAAGTACAATGCCAATCAGTACCTATCTACAATCTCGTCTAGTAGTTGTTGAGACTAGCTTCCTTAAACTGAATATGTTTCAAACTGGTATTCAAGATGAATCTATTATACGAAATGAACGTCGATCAACTAGACTATTTTTAGTTCTTCTCAGTATTTCAGTATTCATTATCGGATTCTATTACTCACTCATACAACATAGACAAACCATTCAAATTCGATCCCCATCAATTATCGAATATTATAATTTACCAAAAGAAGTACCATTACAATGTCCTTGCACGAATGCAGCAGTAAAATATGAAGAATTTGTTCATATGGAACCTTTTTATCATCAATTATGTCGAAGTCATTTTGTTTCTGATCAATTTATTGATCGACTCTACAGTCTCTACGAAAAAAATTTGAATACATCGATTCCAACTGACGTTCATCGAATAGCTGTATTTCAATTTCAAACACTTCGTACACTTTGTGAATTAGCACAAAAAACAATTAACGATAATCTTAAAACATTTTTACAAAATGGATTTGTTCAAACACACGTCATTGCTGAAGAAACACTTGAAACTCAAATTACATCATTGAGAACAGATTTTATTAATGTCACATCAAAAACATTTTTGAGAACATTAAAGTTTATTCAGAATGTTACAGCACAAAGTTTATTTATGACTGGTGCTTCAGTAACTAGTGTTAGACCCCGAACGCAGTCTCGAATGGGGTTTTTTGAGAATCTTCCATATCCTGGAATCAGTTATACATTTAAAGATGGATCTTCTTGCACATGTTCAAGTTCAACTGCTAATAACTGCATGGGTTTGGCAACATTGAATAATAATGCTGTTTCTGGTTTTCAAACAGGTTGTTATATGTTAAGTGCACTTCTTCATTCTACACTTGAAATCTGCTACAATGAAACATTTGTCAACACTTTAACTAACTCTTTGAATGAATATCAAAAACTCGATGGTTCAGATTCATATCCCACAGTTGAAGCATTACTTAGTCAAATGTTCATTACTCATTGGTCACATAACACATCTTTTGAGAGTTATTTTAAGCATTGTGCACCGAATCTATGCCAATATACACTAACTTCTCAACACAGTTTCTTGGTTATTATCATAACATTGATCGGCTTTTTCGGTGGATTATCATCAGTGTTAAAAATCATCGCACCTTTGATAATTACAGGCCTTTGGCCAATTGTTTGGAAGTTTATTACTAGACGACGACGAACGACAGTTATACAAACCTCAGAAACAAACGTCAGTACAGGTATTTATCTATAGTTTTACTATGGACCTCATATGGACATGGTTCTCCATGAAAAGCGTGTGGACACACGATGTTAAGTTTGACTTCTCTCTTTTCTAAGCTAAGTCAATTTTTATGTAGTTTTCTTTTTTAAAGATCTATGCTAGTATGCTCTCTCCATATCGTCAAAATTCTAACTAAGCAAAGCCGTTTAGTTTCTGGAAAAGCTACATTTGAAAAGCATATATCCTAGTGATAAACAGATGACTTCAGGAAATAGTTTCAACTGAACAAAATGAAATATGGAATCTTGTGCGAGAAAACTTTTGGATATTTTAATTCCGAAAACTCTTGAAAGAAGTCATCTGGAGATGTTCAGTCTAGGTCCATTTTTACTGCACTGATCGCGGTCTATCTGTTTTAAGTGTTTCACAAAATCACGTAGACTAGTAGTACAAGAATTGAATAAGATCAATTTTGCATGTGATTAATGGAAACTATGTAAATACATTTACATGGGATTGCGTGTGAAACAAGTTCAGATACTATTAGCATGAAATCGCGTTATGAGCGAAATGTTTCATCTAAGTTTCGTTCGATTGTTGCGATTTACAAGTAAATAAAACAGATTCGAACACAAAAAAATATTTATATAAGTAATTATAAACAATATTATTCTTTAATCGTATTTCTTTTTAGTACTCTCCTTTGGCCAACGTCTAAAACGATTCTTTGGATTAATTAAAAAAAAATTGATTGATTTGAATTTATTTAAACGTGTCCCCCCAACGCAAGATGAAAATATTCTTCGGCGAGAATGTTACACTACACGGCTTTATATAATTCTGTTAATTATATCATTTATTATTTTCACTATTTTTACATCTATTGAACCACAAACAATTCATGTTACTTCTGAAACACTATCACCAGAACAGTTTAATCAACTTTATCAGAAATATCCACAAATACTTGATTGTCCTTGTACTCAAACAACAATTGACTATCGATTCATTTGTAGCATCAAACCACAATATCATGAAGTATGTTCAAGTAAATTTGTCTTTCCCAAATGGATCAATATTGAATTTGTTAACTCTTCGATGCCAAATTTATCAACAGAGGATTTTCGTTATCAATCTCAATTTCATTTTCAACTTTTATCAACATTATGTCAAATGGCTGATGAAATAGTTCAAGATTCTCTACAATCATTCAATCGAACTAAATTTGTCACAAATAAACTAATAAATAATGAATCATTTAAAACGCAAATCGATTCAATCGTGGAAGATTTCAAGAAAAGTCTACCTCCATTATTTCAACGTGTAGTCCAATTGATAGAAACAAACTTTGAGATTAATCAATTCATTACACCAATGAATTCTGAATTTGATTGTGATAAAGACGATGACGAAGAATCAAACACATATATTCATTTGAAGCCTTTTGCTTATAAACTGATAGGACAGCCGCTGTATTTTGGGCACTTTAACTCAACCCAAAACTACACGTCATTTTCCTCTACTGTTTTTGAATTTTACCGACAGACGATGATAAAAGAAAATGAAATTAAGAACATCATTCCCGGAATGGCACAATCATGGTTTCCTTTCCAAGCACTTTTGGTGTCAACATTAGAATGTTTTTATAATGAAACATGTCTTTCTAACATCACAAAATATATTAACTCAACCCAATTACCAATTAACATTACTACACTGAAATTATCATCATCATTGAATCATAGTCAATATGATCGAATTGAAACATTGGCTAATGATCTTTTTATTCGATCATGGGATAATAAAAGTTCCTATCAATCATATTTTGAACAATGTTATCCATTAACATGCGAATACAGTTATAAAAGTCGATTGAATTTTATTTATATTACAACAAAAATTATTGGCTTTATGGGTGGTGTTAATGTTGCTCTATGTCTGTTATTGCCATTTATTGTTAAATTGTTGATTAAACTTTGGAATTCTATTCTTCAGCGTCAACGAAATAACTCCAGTACAGTAAGATCATTAATATCTACACGAACCCGTACGAAAACTTGACATAAAAATCTTATAGTAACTAATCAATATTATTCTTTTTAGGATTTTGGAATTATCTTCAATCTCTTTGGATATCTAGTAAAAAAAAGATTGAAGAATTAAATCTCTATCCAATTATCCCACCATCAACAGATTCACAAATTATTCGTCGACGTCGACACATGACTCGAATCTATTTAATATTATTAATTACAGCCTTCTTCATTCTTATTATTTATACATCATTGAACCAAGAAACAGTGACAGACTCAGTTCCATATCCATCATTATCAAAATACGAAGAATTACTCGTTCAATATCCCATAACATTACAATGTCCTTGTAATCGTATTACAATCAAATTCAAGGAGTTTATCTCTCAAATTGAACCTCAATATCATGAGATTTGTTCGAGTGTCTTCGTTTCACAAGAATGGTTCGATAGCATGCCTGCTGACTCTCAAGAGCTACCAGATGCAACGATGAAAGATGATTTTCGTCACACACTTCGAATGCAATTTCAAACTTTGTTAACACTTTGTAGAGTCTCTCAAAACACATTAAATGCATCGTTGTCAATATTCAAAGAGACTGATTTGATTACAACATATGCTATTTCTCGTGCTGACTTCGACAATCGAACAAAAACAGCAATAGAACAGTTCAAAAGTACAACATCCACTCAATTTATAGAAACATTCAAGTTAATTCAAGCAATAAACCATGCAAATCAACTTGCCACGTTGTTTTACTCAAACTGGGTGTTCTTTCGAAAATATCCAGATAAATATGCAGGTCCATTTCTTAAAGATGAACTAATAAATGTACTAACTCGACCAGAAAAGTATGGAATACATAATTGTTCATGTGGAATACAATCAAATTGTTCAAAACTATCCGAATTTCGATTTGCGTTAGCAGATAAACCTCTTCCGGGATTTCTTCGTGGGTGTATGATGTTCGACTCTTTGTTGCAATCGACGTTGACTTGTCTCTATAATAAGACATGTCTTGGTTTTATGCGAGCATCTATATTGGATTTTAAACCACTACCAGTTAAAGTTCTCTCATATTCTTCATTAGCAATGTCCAATGCAACGATTGAAACACTTCTTAATCAAATGTTTGTTTCTCAATGGTTTGAGAATACATCATTCGAGCGTTATTTCAATCAATGTGCACCTCAATCATGTGAATATTCTTATGTATTAGAATATAATTCGCTGTATGTTATAACAACATTAATTGCTCTCTTTGGTGGCTTGACAAATGGACTACATTTTCTTGTGAAATTTCTAGCAATTATCGTATACAAAATCGTTGATTGGCGAAAGAAGAAACGTCAAGTAGCGGCAAATTTAACATCATCGGATATCATTATGAATAATGAAAATAATGAAGAGATGAGTGACGCAGTTTCAATTCCAATAACGACGACAACAGTTCAGGTGAATTTTCTCTCCTACTGATAAAGAGTGCATCAGTCCCAGATAACTGGCACGGATGTATTTCTACCCTCGATATTTTCTTCTATTTTGTTTGACATTCGTAATTTCACCATGATAGCATTTTTATTATTCTATCGACATATTTTTCACTTTTTTTTTAGGTTAACATTACTTCTGCCGAAGAACAGCGGCATTCGTAAGTAGTACATAGTGGATCGAGTTTCTCATATTTACCTTTTGTTTTAACATTGTTCCTAGAGAAAAAATGCGTCGAGATCGAAGAATGCTAATTGGTTTAATTCTGTTAAGTATAGTTGCAATAGAAATAGTGTCAGTTATTTTGTTTATGACTCGAAATAAAGAGCAGCAAATGATCTCAACAACCATACAAACAATTACAAAAACCAGTAGCAACTTCATATCAGAACCGACATCAACAAGTAAATCTAATGTGTAATAAGCAATGAGTTAATTGTTATGTTTTGTAGATATTTGCCATATGACTTTGAAATATCAATCTCAAACTTATCCAACTGGTCCTAATCCTGCATCATTCGTGACTAGTGATTTTAATCATGATGGCATTGACGATTTAGCTGTGACTAATCCTGAGTCAGATACAATAAGTGTGTTATTGGGAAATAATGATGGAAAATTTCAAACACGACAAAACTTTTCAACAGGAAATGGATCTCGTCCAAGACAAATAGCAATTGGTGATTTTGATAATGATACATTCTTAGATTTAGGTAAGAAATTGTCATATGACAAAAATCTTTATCATCAAATGTCAAATAAATACATCGAATAAGAATATCGATTTTGATGTTTAAGTCAAAAAGAGAACAAAATGATATCTAGTCATTTTGAATAGTAACTTCGGATTAATCTAAACGACTATAAGAAAGAGCTGTGACGAATTCTATATTGATCTGAGCAATGTTATATTTTATCCTTATTATCAAAGAAAACTATCTGCACTAAAGTCTGATTAGTTAAGAACTCTCATTTACTAACTAGTCGGATTTCACTAAAAATTTTCCACATGATTGGAATACTGGTTCAGCTGAATTCAGGGTTGGAGAATAATCCGATCGTTGTGTTAGCCTTGTACTTACATATATATGAAATGTTGAAAACATGTTATAGTTTGAATAGTTCTGAATATTACTAAACTTTTTCAAGAATACCTGTATTATATGTAGATCTTTCGTAACAAAATCTAAAGTCATTTCTTTTTATTTTATACTATTGCATCTTATCGCGCAATTGAACATAACTGAATTCAAGATGAAATTTGAATATTCATATTTCAAATATAAGCTTTATGTTTTGAATAAAATTCAATTTTATTCTTTTTACCTAAACAATAATCTAATAGAACTTAAAAACATAACTTGTAAGTATTGTTTTTATGAGATTCCTTATGTTAAACTGTAGCTAAAGAATATAAATCTTGAAGGTGTGAGTGTGGAAATTGATTTGAAATGATCATGTTCTTCAATTAATTCCATTTCAGCATTTTGTTCTCGAAAAATGCTTATCATAACAGAAAAATAATGAGATGAATGGTTTTTATTGAATTCAACAATGATTGATACTTCAAAGTTGTTCTTTCTTTTCTAGTTATTTATTTAGCTGCAACAAATAAAATAGTTATTTTCTATGGTTCTGGATCAAACAATCTATTTATTCCATCAACTGACATTTTTTTATATGGCCCAGATTCCTTGAAAATAGATACGATTGCAGTTGTTGATATCAATAGTGATGGTTTTGTTGATATAGTTGCTAGTTCTTATATTGATGAAGGTTCTCGATTCGAAATTACTAGCGATGTAAATATGGGCAACAGATATCACTTTATATTCAGACGATGTTCGTGTGAGTTCATCACGGGTACAGTCATCTCAGTAGTCGTCGCGGAATTGGATAATGATGCAAGACGAAATGATATGGCCTGGCTCATCAGTGATGGTCTCGTGTTAACTCGCAGTGCATATGAGGTCCGAGGTTACCTCGAACTCAAAGTTTTAGCAGATGACAAATTGTATAAAGATCCATCGACTGTAGTTACAGGAAGATTCAATGACGATGAATTCGTCGATTTGGCGTTGATTTCTTCTCAATCGGACACATTACAAGTTTTACTTCGCTTTGAAGATAAAAAGTTGTCGAAATGGAAGAGTATTCCGATGATTTATTCCACAAATCATAATCCGACATCTATTGCTCGAATTAATTTCAATAATGATACAATCGATGATTTAGCTATATTAAATTGCAATGGTACTGTAACAATATTTATTGGCTCAAATGATGGACTTTTTGAACGAAAAGATTTATCTTTTGGAACTCATGCAGGTTGCACTGATAAATGTTGTCAATCATTAAAAGTAGTTAATTTGAATCGAGATGGAAGAGATGATCTAGTGTTTATTGATACAGGAATGAATAGCATTCAGGTGGCTTTGAGTTTACCTTGCAATGAATAGACATCCTTATTAGTTTGCTTTTGATGTTGTAATAATTTCAATAAATATTTGTTGTGTTTCAGATGTGGTATTTATTTAATGAGTGAAAAAGTTTGAAAATATTTGTAGAAGAGATAATGAGATGTCAGAAATGTTGATTAGATGATTTAATTATGGATCTATAATGCTTATAAGATAAACAATACATGTGAATGTGAGAGGAGATAGTGGATGCTGATTAGAAACTTTGTAAAAATAGAATTTCTGCGTCATAATTTCAATGTTTGAACTGTGTTGATGGTAATCAATAAAAGTTAAAGGTAATAGTCATGTGATGAATGATTGAAAGTGCACTTAAAATGATAATTAACAATAGCCACAACATTGTAGATATAAAGGCTTATTATACGCGATCTTCAGAACAGTATATAAAGATTTAGATAAAACGTCACTTTAGCGATATATTATATAAACTACTGGAAAGTAACAATACTGATATATGTACGCTATGATGACATTTTCTTTCTTCTATCTTGCAGAGGATCATTTTTGAACACTAAATTAAAGATCTGCGAAGTTTCAATCTTTTGGTCATGATATCGAACAAATCCAATCTCGGTTACCAATACTATGAATATCTTTCTTCAAAATGTTGATGTGGGTGTGACATGAATATACTATTCACATCACTCTCATCTATCAGATCACACATTTGTATTCGCATAAATATACTAACAAAGATCGAATATCTTTTACGTGAAATATAATCATATTACCGAGCGTCCAGGTTTGAGCCCGATATATTTCTACGTCTAAATATGATGAAAGACAAGCCGAATATATATGTAACAATGAATTTTTGAAGATGTAAGCAGGCTTGCCAAACCTCCTGATTTAGCCAGGATTCTCCTGGTTTTTTTTACTTTTCTCCTGGCGGAAAATCTCCTGATTTCAGGAGCTGATTTTCAACATTTTCTCCTGATTTCTCCTGATGTTTAGCGATACTTTGAATCAATAAGAAAGTTAAAAGGAAAAAACGAGAACTATTATAGTACTCAATAATTATAGTAACGAATAAGAAAATATTTGCTTTTATTTTATTTTTCTCGAAAAAAATCGTCAATTGTAGGAGCTAGCTGTACACAAAGTATTTATTTTACTGGAGACAGCAGAAAAACGCATGCTATTGTCTGGAAAACAAGATCTTGATATTCAGACAAGAGTCCGGTAGGCAACATTTTAAATGGCCAGTTACGATGTCTCTCGTCTAGAAAGATTTTTACATTCCTTGGAATTCACGTCTGCTTCTTCTTAGCTCAGAATAGAACAATACCTTGAATAACTTAGCAAGATTCTTGCGTTTCATTTTCATTAGAGAATTGTTATAGGTTCATGGGCACTGCTAATTTTGTTGTCAAAGTCTGACACGAATTATAAACATGAAAAGAATGAATAGGTATATATTACAATAACAAAAAGTGAAGATATCAATGGTAAAGAAACAAAAGTGATAGCCATATCGATAAAATGTTCACTGAATAAATCATAAAAGGCTTAAGAGAAAAACAACTTCCATTGTCAAAAATTAGCTTATCTTGTTTTTTTTACAGCATATTAATGCTATAGACCGCTCGTTGCAAAAACAAGCGAAGAAACACGTACAATCGATTCATATAGTGATGTAAGAGATAAAGAATGCTTGTCTTTTTTTCAAACTCTGTCAAGAATCTTTCTATCATTCTATTCATTTGTATAAATACTTTTGCTTAAACTTTACAATGAAAAAGAATTTTGGCTGATAGATTAGAATGAAAATTAATTTGGAAATAATACAGGTAAGAATATTAACTGATCAAGAGTACATAATAAATATAACTAAAAGAACGCTTTTCATGATCATTCTGTATAGCAAAAAAATATTATTTGTGATAAAATTTAAGTGAAAATAATATCATGTGTATTTTACATTATTGATCACCAACTTGATACGAAGGAGATAAATATTTTTTGTTAGCGAGCGTTCGAATTTTCTACGAGAAAACCGTCTAATATTTTCTCAACTTAAAATAGAAAACCTCCTGATTTTCCTACTGATTTAGGAAAAAACTTCTCCTGGAAAACTCCTGCTTTTTTTTTTGAAACTCCTGTTTTCTAAAATTTTGATTTGGCAACCCTGGATGTAAGGTAGCTGTGTGAGTAACCCTGAGTTACAGCTAATACTCACGCTTATAATCTCATATGTATGCGCTCCTAGCTTGGTTTACCGTCGGTTCGTACGAAAATCGCCGATTGAGTCTGGTTTCTTGTTTCCTCATTATTTATTTATAATTTGTTTTATAAAATTGATATTATCTGTCTTGGAAACGTTCAGTTTTACTCTAAAAAATGATTTTCCGTACTTTGCCCGAAAGTAAAAATATCGAAAGTGAAAAATGTCGAAAATTGAGATGAAAACTTCTAAACATTGTTGTTCTGAAAAAATTGGAAAAGCCAGCAGCCATATTGAGGGTGAATGCAGATGTGGGTGGGCGGGTGTTAGCGTGAGTCTGGGTCACGATGGGTGAGTGAGGATGGATCTGGGCGGGTGTGTATGGATTTGGATCTGAGTTTGAGTAGGTGGATGTGGATGTGTATTCTCCTCATCCATTACCCACAGCACACACCACATCCTCACCCACACCCATGCACACCCACACTCTTATATTTTTCAATAAACAGCTTTGAAAAGACCAGTAAAATGAACTATGTGTAATTATCTTTTTGTTGTTCTTTGTTTCGTTCATTCAGACAGACCTTTTCATTGCTCGTTTAATAAAAGCCAAAATCATAAATATTTAAGGGTGAGAAGCGTTTCTTTCTCGTAAATAAAGTATGTTACACTGTCGTATTTTTCCTCTAGTTTTGAGAGGAAGTTTTCTGATTTTTCTCCTGATTTCGTAAAATAACTCTCCTGACCAATTCCTTTTTTTAACGAAAAAAACCCTGATTTCTAAAATTTGGATTTGGCAACCCTGAACTCGAATCTGAGGTTCAATTGGTCAGACAGCATGAAAGCGTGGGTGTGGATAAAGAAATGATAGATGCACACCCTCACATCCAAGATAGGTAGTGAAAGTACTTAGTAGTGACTTTTTTGTCAAAATCTTTACATAGATATCCAACACTATCACTCATTTGATTTTTTTGTTGTGAAAACTATCACTCATTTCATAGAAGCATACACCTAGTGGATGGGAACATAAAATATATTGGCCTTTTGATATACAACAATTTAGTCGATGAGACTATTCAACAAAAAGAGTACGCCTGAAAAAGATTAATTTATTCGAACATTTTATCGAGTTATTCATTTTTGATATTTACTTGCGGACAATTATTTATATGTTATCAAGTATTATCATCACGTTTGAACTCGCTTTGCACCTGAATACAGGTTATTGGCGGCAAAGAATGATTAAAATTCATCACTGCTATATTGATATCTACTCTTCTCCAATGAAAATATGCATTCACTTGTGCATATAATGGTTTGTCTTTTGTCAACTACAGGTCTTCTGCAACAACCGGCATGCGATTTAACTTAGTGATATTAACGCTACTTGTATGTTATTTAGTTAGCGATTATATATTAAGAAATGTGCATCATTAAATAGTTTGATTACAAATAAAATTTCATGATTCAGTTCACAAAAACAAATTTCTTCTAGTTGATATTGACTAATAAAGCTCGACAGTATTGCGATCATTGCGCATGGCTCCACCAGTAACTAATACATACCCATTTTGTAATGTGGTTGCTGTGTGAAATGTTCGTTCGACACTCATATCTCCCGTAGTTGTCCAAGTACCTGTTAATAGATTGTACAATTCAGCACTTCCGAGATAAGCACCGGCTATAAATCCGCCAGTAACTAATACATATTTATTTGTTAATGTGGATGCTGTGTGATGTGATCGTGGGGAACTCATATTTCTCGTAATTGTCCAAGTGCCTCTTGATGGATTGTACAATTCAACACTATTTATATGAGTATTGAAGTTGCGTCCACCAGTAACGAATACATAACCATTTGTTAATGTAGATGCTGTGTGATCAGATCGTGCGACATTCATGTTTCCTGTAGTTGTCCAAGTACCTGTTGATGGATTGTACAATTCAGCACTTCTGTAAGGAGTACTGCCTTTAAATCCACCAGTAATTAGTACATGCCCGTTTGTTAATGTACATGCTGTGTGATATGCTCGTGCAACACTCATGTTTTGCGTGATTGTCCAAGTACCTGTTGATGGATTGTACAATTCAACACTATTGAAATAATTATGACGGTTGCGTCCACCAGTAATTAACACATATCCATTTGTTAATGTAGATGCTGTGTGATCATATCGTGCAACATTCATGTTTCCTGTAGTTGTCCAAGCATTTATTGATGGATTGTACAATTCAGCACTATTCAAAGCAGCAGAATTCTGAATTCCACCAGTAACTAATACATATCCATTTGTTAATATAGATGCTTTGTGATGTGATCGTTGGAAATTCATGTTTCCTGTCATCGTCCAAATACCTGTCGATAGATTGTATAATTCAGCACTATTGAAATAGGCACCAGCAGCAACTAATACTAATCCATTTGCTAATGTGGTTGCTGTGTGAGCATATCGGTCGGCATTCGTACTTCCTGTCATTGTCCATTCTTCAAGAAAAGATAGATAAGGGAGAAAAAAAAATGTCGTTCTTAGAATAACTTCGAGTTTCTCATGCCTATAAGTTCTCTATCTGTTGATCACTACTTAAATAATGCCAAACCTTCAACAAACTTCTCTGCTTTCATCGTTAAGATAAGATCCGTTATAGAATTTTCATCCAATTCAAACAAATAAGAACGTTGTAGATTCTTAGATTTTAGCAAATTAATGTAAAATATCTTACAAAAGAGTCGATCGATTTTGATCAGATTCTATCAATTTCGCGATCTGACGAAACTCAAATGCTGTCTTACAGTTCAGCTATGATACATAATAATCCAGTTTTCGAATTTAAGTAAAGCTCATTCCACATTGTTCAGCATTGTGGAAACAAGAAGTGCTCTAATCACTTTAAGTGCTTGGTGTGTGAGTATGTGTCAGGATCATCAGCGGGTCACCAACAGGGCAAGGCGTGGCAGTTGCCCAAGCAAAGATATTCGTAATAACCAATAATTTGACAAAAATTGATACCTAAAACGATTTTTTTCAGCAGTTGCCACACCAAATATTTTACTGCTGGCTTGTTAATGGTCGTGATGTAAGTAAAAGTGGATGTGAGTGTACGTGTGACAATTTAATATTTACATTATTCTCATGGGAAAGTCGGTATACTAAGGATTTAATGATGATAATGATGAGTGTTTTTCTGAATCTTGAAATTATCATTTTATACTTCTTTGACTTTCTTTTGAATTTCTTGACTTTGTATAAATGGTACTTAAAAACATGAGATTAGATGTTAATAGGCATGTTAGATGTCGATATCATATCAACTAGTATATCGACGTGTAGAATTATCCCATTAAATTAGATAAGAGTCGATTATTTCATGAGTGAATATAGATTAAAACTTGCTTTTCTGAATAAAATCAAAATCTACTTTTCCTGTTGGAAAGGTAAATTTTATTTATTTTCATTCCTTTTTTCACACAATCTTAACTTAATGCTTCGCGAATTCTTTTTCGTGTTTGATCCATCTTGTAACTATTATCAACTAGAAATATATACTATGTGAATTTTGTATAATATTCATGTGCATTATAAACAACAAAACCAACAACACAATATTTCTGTAGATTAAATGAAACTGATAATTTGTACGAAAAGACAAGTCAACTTTCAGTTGTGTGCTTGAAGTAATATGAGTGTTATTAAAATAGACTAATGTTGACAATATGATAATAGTAATAGCGATAGCTACAAATAGTACTCAATATCACGTAGATGTTCTGATTAATAAATGGTCGAAACTATAAAGTTGAGACATCATAAAGGATATCTGACTTTTTCGGTTGAATTAGTGGTTCAAATTATCTCCTACATTATATCTACAAGTATTGGCATTATTTAATCCTATTCAGTTAAAAGGTACCTATAATTATTAACCGTTTACGATGTTATAGAATATTACTAAAATCATTAATGAGTTCTATCGCTTGCAAATCTTCTTATCAGCAATCTGTTCGTATAATAATATTGAACAGGATAAGCATACTCAGTACTTGAATCAGTGCAGATCAAATCAAGGCATGAAAAACTGATCTTATTTCAAGTTCTGATAGAAAATCTTTCTTTATGTTATTCATCTAGATGGTGAACATTCAATAGCTAAAATCAAGACTTTTCGATGTTGTTACTTGCAATAATTATCGTTTAGGCGACTACAAATGATTTAAAATAATACTAACTCCGTATTGCTATTGTTGTTGTTGTTGTTGATGATGTTGTTGTTGCTGCTGCTGCTGTTGTTGATGTTGTAGTTGATTCTAGATTGCAGAAATGAGTTTAGAATGAGACTAAACCATTGGGTAAAGTTTTATTCTTAATTTCTTTCGACGTCGTCGTCTTCTTCTTCTTCCTTTTCTCTAACAATATATCGACCATAAATATGAGTACATTATAATAAAATAGCAAATTATTAGATGCTTTACATTATAATTGTAATTCTATGATCTTTACTTTAAGCACATCTCTAGTATAAGGATTTGGTCAACTCAGTTTACATATTTTATTAGTTTAATAATGAAACATTTGCAGAAATGTAGAGATTGACTTATATAGCATTTGGGTATATAGCTACTGTTCTCGAAATATTTCATTTTCATTTAGAATGGCATTCTAATCAGAAACTAATGCTAATTCAACGACTACAGCTCACAGCTTATGGGTAGCTATCATAAAACCAACTAAATTCATGTCGATCTATTTCATCGCTTTCTTTTCAGAACTATTGATTATTGTAGTGTGCTTAGCTACACTGTTAAGAGATTCTTTATGATACAGAGAAAAACTTCAATGTGACATCATTGAGCTATAACCAGAGCTTCCAGAATAGTTTCATTTCATTTTCAAACTGTTTTTAATCATCATCTCAGTAAAAAAATATTGTATTTTCTTATTATTTATTATCTAAAATCTTCTAAAATGCGCTGTAAATTTATATTCAAGCTTGATTAAAATTATTTGATAGACGTTGATGCTACTTTCATTTCATAGATATTTCATCGAATAATTATTTGTAATTTTTTTGTTATTTTTGTAATATTCGTTAGTATTGACTCTTCAGTTTAAATAAGGCCGTTTCAAGTCCCACAGACTTTTCGTTTACTCGGATATTGCCAAAGTAGATTTCGAAAAATAAACATCGAAACAGACAGTTCAGCTGAAAAAGATTTCCTTTCTAGTAGATGGCTTTAGCTGAATATTTTTTATTCGAGCTTTATTTCTTAGGAAACTTGACGCTTCTTACAACCCATTAGAATTATTAATCAAGATCTATGGTAAGAAAACTTTCTAGATTTTCGTTTCACTAAGATGATAAACAATCATAACTACACAAACTGATTGTATTTCTGTTTCACATGGAATGTTCTGTAGAATATATTAACTCTGATAATTTGTGTGAGGATATGATGGACAGAAAACAAATCTATGAACTACAAATAATGTTATATCACACATATGATTTAACTTTGATTAGTGAGATCAACTTGAGAATAAGTCGTACCACATATTGAAAAGATAATAACTCTGAAATTGATTTTTAAGAGTTGTGTTTCTATTTGAGGGGTCTACTGGGATCATATGTAGTCAAAAGGACAACGATCAAATGTTAATCAATAAGACTTTTATCAGTGATGATGAAATTCTAGAGAGTATATTGTTGATATTTTCATTAGAGAAAGTTCAACTTGTCAAAACTTTGTGATCTCAAATGAAAATAGGAAGTTGGTTGAACGAAAAAAAATCTGCATACTAAGACTTTAGAGATCTAATAAGTTTGACTATATATAAAAGTATAGTAGTTAAAAAGAGTGAACGACACCTCATATTTTTGTGACTACATCAGAGAAATCTATGATGGCAAACAACCTTATCACAACGGTGATGCTATTTGAAAAGACAATCTTTTAATCATCATGGTTTTGACTGTATTAAACATGAACTAGCCATGCTAATCCATAAAATTCATTGTTTTCTAGATTAATATATCTGAAAATACTGAATTCCTATGCAAAGTTATGCATGTTCACAATATCCTTTAGAAATGAACTGCCGTTGACACGTTACCATGACTCTCACTGGTATATTCTATTTTCGACTGCTTTCTACTTCATTCAATCGTTAACAATTTTACTTAAAAGTATGCCACACTTTTATAGGTTTATCCCAATAAAAATAAATTAACTCATCTTACTTGAGTTTTATTTTGATCTCGACAATTTAATCATATTATTTATACTATTATAACTGGCTATTTATTCATTCCGAAAAAACATGAATGACTATCAAAGCAATCTTCGAATTCTACTAAGACGAAAATTCATGGGACTAACTCAAACTAAAATATAATTGAATAGAGCAAATAAAAACAATATGCAAGTTACTGCGGACTGTGAAAAGGTAGTACACTTCAAATTCAAACCATGATTCATTATTCGATGGGTACTGACAGTGGATTCTCCAAGAAAGAAATACTGTGAAAAAAGACACTACGTCTTGAGGATATGAGTGAGTGAGGTAGGTGTGGACCATAGCTGTGGATTGGAGCGTGTTATTGAGGGCGGGTGTGAATGTAGCTGTGAGTACGAATACGAGTTCAGATAGTCAAAAGTATGGATATATTAAGATACTACATTTGCCTTTGAACAATACCCAGCGATACCCTAAAAAATCTCAACTTTACTGCAATGGATATTGATTTATAGAGTAAAAGTCGACCTTTAGCATTAATTTTATAATTCTGGATACGCTATCTTAGAACATCAAGGCATCCCTCGATGATTACTGCAGAAATATCCGGATTTCGTTGTGCAAAAATCTCTGTAAATGAAACTATGCTTTAGGCCTGGGAATTCTTACGAGTCGAGCGGGCGTAAGCAATAGCTGGGCTTTGTTGAACTAGATCGAGCCACGAAAAAGTGGCAAGGGTATGGTAAATTCCCTTTCCCAGAAATTTAGAATTGATCACATCTAAAATGGAGGAGAGTGTAATGAATAATATCTATATGACAATGTCCAGCACTAATTCTCATATATACCACGGCACATTTTATTATACATACAACGATTCTAATACTACTTCATTACGAAATCTATATATAAAGAATCTCTATTATTTATATTTTAATCGAATAATGATATGCATTTTAATATATACGTTATATATGGTTTCATTTCGGATTGAGTCAAGTCAAGTTAAGAAGAATATATATCTATATGTATATATAAAGTATATGATTCGATTTGAGGATGTGAGCAGTTTGCGTGTAGGTGTGAGTGAATGGCTATCAAGGATGGCTGTAACTGCGGGCGATTGTTTTGTCTTCACACACACTCTCACCCGCCCACACCCTGAGATAGTTTTTATATATAATATATCGATATATATTTTTACTCAACTTAATCCAACCCGACCCAATTCAAGCTTAGACTTCAAC